GTAATATCCCGCAGGTGTGATGTTATCTGACTCTCTCTCTCTCTCTCTCTCTCTCTCTCTCTCTCTCTCTCTCTCTCTGTGTGTGTGTGTGCGCGCGCGCGTGCGTGTGTGTGTGTGTGTGTAACCAGCGTGGATTACAGGAAGATCACTAGATAATTCCTTGATGAATGTCTTTTTCTTCTTCTTTACGTCCTTTTTTTTTTTTTAACGCTTCGGGTGTCGAGGGAGATATGAGGTGCTGCTTCGTGCTCTTCTGCTTGCTTCGACCACAGACACATCGTGGTGCTGTAGAGTTTCTCTGATGTTATCTTCCCATCTTGTGCTTGCTCTACACCCCTCTCCTTGTCTTTTGGTATATGCCTTGTGTGGTACAGCAAATTTCGTCCTTATTAGGATTAATGTTAAGATGTTGTTTATTCCTTACGTCCTTCTTAGGACGTAATTTTGTGTTATTTGAAGCCCCACCCTGGCTTTTGCCAGGGGCCGCAATATAGGCAGGCCATCAATGTGGCCAATTGTCTGAATGCGGTTTCTGGGACATCTCCACGGTGATCCTCATCCGCATGGCGGCACATTGTGTCATCGGATGTTTATCGCTTGTGTGATGTCCTGGTGGGGTAGAAAGTCAGTCAGTCAACAAATACAAAAAGTCGGGTAAAATCGGGAGATGTGAACCAGCGTCATTGCACACGGATATAAACCATAAGTGCTTTGCCACCAGTACGGACAGCTGATAAGAAATTGTCCGCCCTTGTCGCCGTCCGCACGTAACTCTGTAGCTACAGGGACGTTCCTCTATTTACCCCAGAGTGTTAACTCTAGTACCCATTTCCTAAAGGCTGGGTGAACCCCGGGAACCGCCCGGTTTCGAACACCGGCCGTGGGCTGCAGGAGTCGCAGCTGGATTTGAAAGCGAGTCTCCTATCGACTGCGCTAACGCGGCCCTTGAACAAATACAAAACACGGACGATGTCAAAAAGCATGGGTGTCACCATGAAGAAATCTTCGCTCAACCCCCATACAGCCACTTTAGTAAAGGACCCGGTTCTATGCTTTTAGGCGTATAGGGAATAAAGGACCTATATTTTACAGACCAATCGGCACCCGATGCGTGATGTGTTCAGCATCACGCCGGCCGCCTTTACTCAGCGGGTCTGCACCCTGCACCCACTCAAGGCAAGGTCGACCTGGGAGCCAAAGCCATTTTTGAAAAAAAAAAGTCCGGTTCCGCCTGAGAGCGAACCCACGACCTTTAAATCCACAGGCGCGCGTGTAGCCGCCCTGCTACGGCGACTCCCACTCAGCCAGTTTAAGGATTCATTATTTGGTTGCATTGAATTCAATCGTTACGGAGGCATGCACCTGCCGAGGTGCAGCCAAATACGTCAAGCAGTAAAGTTAGCAATCTACATGCTATGTCTTCTTTATTTAAATCTGGCACGTACCCACCCATTCACTGTACTAAACACGGTTATCGTTAGCGTATACTAAGGTTTTAAACTGGGACATGTTCTTCTTCTTCGACCACCTTTAAAGGATGACCGCCAGGTTGCATCGTTGTTTTTATGTCCACATAACCAGCCACCCCCTTGTGGGATGCAATTTTTCGTCATTTTGTAGCCCCACCCTGGCTCTTGCCATGGGTCGCAATATAGCCCGGCCATAAATATGGTCTAATGGCTGAACGCGGTTTCCGGGTACCTCTCCACGGGTGATCCTTATTCGCATGGTGACACTTTGTGTCATCGGGTGTTTATCGCTTGTGTGATGTCCTAGTGGGGTAAAATGTACTACTACTGCATCGTGGTTTACAGCTAGGATGCGATAAATGTGCCTCTCTGCCTAACAATCTGTGAAACAAAACAAAACAAAAAGAATGTGTTCCTAATCTATAATTTTAATGCATGTGCTATCATATTAATTAGATTCTGTTTAACGCATATATACAAACTGCTCACAGAAACAGAAAACGTCATCGCCTGTTTGTTTTATAACAAGTTTAACACCTAATCTATTTATAATTAGGATGTGGGAAAAATGTGTTAGTGTAACGGATTATTACAAGTAAACACTGACTCATTTTCAAAATTACATGATGCTCCCCACTGCAACCTTCTCATGCGCCCCCCCCCCCTCCCTCCCCGACCTTTTTTTCCAGGTGCGAAACGAACGAACGAACAAACGAACTTTATTTTCAAAGGGTCACAAATTGAACCGCAGGCCCGTCTTACATTCGGCCCTTCCAAACACCCGTCTTTCACACTTCAGTTGTATTTTATCAATAATCATGTTATATTCTTATGATAATAGGCGTATTATGAATATCAAGAAAGAAAGAAAAACACAAAAACATGGGTAGTAAAATGATACACACACTAGTGCGCGCACACACACAGCCACCAACTCACTTAAACACGTATTTATACACACCCACATACCTTCACACACACACATAAACACACACACATTCGCCCACATACATACCTACCTACCCACCCACCCACACATATACTCTCATTCCACACACATACATACACACCTACAGATACACACACCCACAGAAACAAACGCAGACATAAATACAAACACACTTACGCCCACAGACACAAACACACGGACACACAAATGCAGATAAAAAGACACACAAAACCACACGCAAACTCACATACATACATGCACAAACACACACAGACGCAAAACCCACTCACGTTTAAAAACAAAACAAAAAGGCTCCAACAAGCAGAGCAGGTCAGTTCAGGACCACTGTTGCCAGCAATTCTTCTGTGACTCTCAGCTTTTAAATGTCTGCTTTAAGTTTCTCCTCCACCAATTTTTCCTTCCTGATTCCCCCTCCCTTCCATGCAACAGCGCCCTGTTCCCATCACTCCACCTCAAGACATATATCATTCATGTCCTACTTGCTCACATCTTAATACTGAGGTGAAAGCCAACCTCAACATCTTTCAGTACCTTCTATACAATACCACAATGTGTATAATCCCATTAATGACACCATAATATATATACATACTCAAAATCTACCACATTCAAGGTCTCCTCTACCAATGGGAATATTCTGTTCAGACGAACAAGTCGTAAATCGTACAGGTCATAAAAGGGCCCTTTCCCACACCTTCAGGTGTATTTGACATACAGGCCTAGACCTATATTTTATAGACCAGTCGACTCTCGTTGGGTTATGCAGTCAACATCATGCTGGCCACCTTTATTTCCCAGGACTATACCTGGTAGCCACCTACGGCTAGGACGGACGACCTGGGATTCCTTGTCATTTTTGAAAAAAAAAGGTCCAAGACCATCAGGATCCAAACCCACGACCTTCGGATCCGCAGGCCTATTGGTCATAAGTGATTTTAAATTTCTTACCACTATTTCCATTCAAGCAGGTTATAATAATTGTACATAAAAAACCCCCCAAAAAATGTAATCTTTACATGTATAGTTATTGTTAATAATGTTAAAAAAAATTACACAATATGTCCTCTACTGCTTTAGTACTTGGAGTTTTTGACCATATTAATTTAGTTATCTTTATTTATTTACTATTTTTATTTATTAATTTTTTGTGGCCACAAGTGCGGATGGTCTTAAGTCGCGCAGACCATGAGTCAAGGAGAAGGTGTATATTCACTTCTGCATCTGTCAGTTTGTTTATAATATATTCTATTTATTATACTATGCCTCAGAACAGGACGCAATCGACTTGGCAGCCACATGTACACAAAATTTAAGATTAGATAATCCGCCACGTGTACATGTGGATTAGCACCTGAGACAACAGATCCCGGCCCCTAAGACCGTCTCTAGACATAACACATCAAGACAACACCGGTGCAAGCCAAGCCAAACTTTACGGGTCGCTGACTGAATTACAACAGACAGGGAAGTTCATACTAGAGACAATATTGCAGACATAGATAATCTATTTCAAGCGAACGAAAAAAAAGAAGATTTAAATGTATGACTAAATTTGTATGGGTCTGTTCATAACATATTTTTGTGTGTATGTGCTTAGTAATATTTTCAATGTTTTGCTAAATCTAAATATTGCTACATCTAAATATTATTTTTAAAAACAATAATAATTACTGAGTCAAAGAAGGACTGTACAAAGGGTCAAATGTAAGACAGCCCACCATGCCCAATTTGTAAACCTTGCCCTTTGAAAATAAAATCTGTTCATTCTTCTGCACTGTGGGTTATGGTGAAAGGACAATCTATTAATACTATTATCAGGTTTTCTTAATGTCATATCTATCTTTCTGACTTTAAAAGTTTGAAGCAAGAGGTATACACATAAGGATAACTGGCTTGAGGCAGACAAGTATATAGCGTATATTATGGCCGTGATATAATTGTTTCCTCCTACAAGGATGAAATTTTTTTTTGTTTTTTTTTTGTTATTTTGAAGCCCCACCCTGTCTTATACCAGGGGCACTGAATAAATAGCCAGGCTGAAAGGGTTTTCTAGTACCTCTCCACGAGTGATCCTCATCCGCACTTTGTGTCACCGGGTGTTTATCCCTTGTGTGATGTCCTGGTGGCGTACAACTACCTACCAGTAATATAACTGGAATTAGTTCACTTTAAACACTTTTTCCTTAAATGCTGATGGGCAGTTTCTGCAGCGTGCTTTATCCCTAATGTACTGGTGTTACCTTTCATTTGTAGTAAACAAAGCAGGGCAAGACAGATACCATGATGCATGGGAAATAGAGTCTCTATAATACTGCCCAAGCCTAGTGCTATGGAGAGAAGAAACATGCAGGTGGCTTAGGCTAGTCACACTCGCCATAGCCTGCTTCCCAACTCTCCTAGCACAATATAACACTCAAGTCTGAAAAGACGGAAAGGTGCCAAACAATTCACATGCAAAACAGAAATTCAAAGAATGGTCGCACACCCAAGAATGAATTAATCTTAAGCATGCAAGAAGAATAAAACAATACATATGGACCGAAAACATCAAGGGTACATACTTCCTTCTCTGTGTGCTTGTGGATCAGCATACAAATGTTCTATTCTGTGTGTGTTAAATGTTGATGCTCGTCGAATGATGCCATGCACCTAGTCAATAAAGAAATATATGCATGTACAATTATAAAGTTATTTCCAACACACGTCTCTACAGCAGAGGTTCTCAAGCAGGGGTGCCGCGGCGAAAAAAGTTTGAGAACCCCTGCTCTACAGTACTGCCCATGCTTTGTGCTATGGAAAGGAAGCACCTGCTCTTATTGTGGAAGACTTGTCTTTACATGAGCCAGCTTTTCTAGTCACCGCCACAGACTATGATTTCCATGCCTCCCTAGAGCCCAACTCTATCATCTGAAAAGATGGAAAGGTGCCAACAACTCATGATTTTTCGTATGAAAGGGTTCATTTCCCCACCCTTTGGTGTACTGGATAAATTATAAATTATACTAGCCGGATAATCTGAACACACCAACTGGCACTTCACAGTGGCTAGACCAGCGGTTTTCAACCTTATCAGGTAGTCAACCCACCATTTTATTTTTTAAAATACATGACATCCCCAACAACAACAAAATCTGATTAACAAGAGGACAAAAAGATAGCCCCAAGCACTATAAACAAAACTGCTTTGTCATATTAATTATAATTTTAATGGCAAATGTTTAGACTCTTCATATAAAAACAAAAAGCCCTCAGCTTGTGTTAGCAAAATGTTTCAAAAACTATTCTGTTAATATTAAAAGTTAAAAACAAATGTTAGACTTGATCGATTATTACAAATACAAATGCAATTTCCTTACCGAAATGCCTAATGCTGTCTTTAAACCCCCCCCCCCTCCCCCTGGTCAAAAACCACTGGGCTAGATGCACACATGTCGGCCCAAAGGTTTTGGGTTTTTTCAAGAAACAACCTCAGCTCCCAGGTCAACCAAGCCTAAAATGGGTATTAGGTAAATTCCTAAGAAATAAAGGTGGGCAGCTACAATAGTATAAGTCTAGTATCATAGGAACAATGCTGGCATGAAAGGGGTCTCTAACGCAGTCGCCACTTGGTCAGTGATATCATGTCTGCCACCTTTACAGTACCTGGACATTACCTGTTCATAATTTTTGCCTGGGTTGACCTGTAAGCTCTAGTTAATGTTTAAAACTGACCTCAATGGGGATTCAAACCTTTGGCCACCAGGCGAGCACGCTAGTTACAGTGTTTATTATTACTGATTGGAAATGTAGACAATTAGAGATATCCCAGAAAGTGTGATAAATAATGAGATGTTGATGATGTGAATTGTGATGCTCACCAATGTCTGAATGGAATCATGTATGTAAGCAGTGAGGCCAAAAATATCCATATGCTCAATTCATCTTTTGAAAATAAAGTTTATTTGTTTGTTTGATAATGTATTACGTAACCATTACCTGGGTCAGAATTTAGGTAAAAGATTTGTAGGATATAATGAATAAGTAAAAAAGTAAGTAAAGTAAAGGATCCTTTTCCACGCCTTAAGGCGTATAGGGCATAAGGCTAGACCTATATTTTATAGATCAATCGGCACAAGATGGGTGATGTGGTCAGCATCACGTTTGCTGCCTTTACTTCCCGGGACTGCACCCGGTACCCACTCAAGGCTGGGTCGACTTGGGAGTCAAGGTCATTTTTGAAGAAAGTCCGGCTTCTCCAGGGAGCGAACCCACGACCTTCCGATCCGCAGCAAATGTTTAGCTGCTCCGCCATGGGGACTCCCATATAATGAATAAAAATATAGATAATTTTGAAAAAGCAACTTTGTGAGATCCCAGAATGTAAGAACCATGTCTGAAACGGCCAAAACTGCCCAAGTAATTAAGAGAAAAAAGAGATGAATGATGGAAAGTGACCTGAGCGGGCATCTCTGACATGGAAAACTGCACTGAAGATTACACAGGACAGGAAAGCATGGAAAGTCCTCTGAGAAGCCTCATATGCCACTAGGCATAAAGAGAACTGATGATGATGAATTTTGTGAGACTGAGTTAAACAGAGATAAAACAATAGGGCAATGGCGCATAATGCATCTGAGCATTTAAATTAAGAAATATGTGTAACATCGTGAAAGTATGTTAAAGTAACAGCTATGTGGCACAGAGGTAAACATGTTTGTGGGATATAATGAATCAAAGTAGACAGCATTATAAAGCAACAAAAATGTGTAACAGCTAAAGTAATAGGTTTTGGTGAAATATTCAAAGTGCAGAGTACTGTAAAGTAACAACTATTAAGGACAGATAAAAAGTTACAAGTGTGTGGGGCATAGTAAAACAAAGCATTTTGTACTGTCGAATACAACTATTTAGGACAGATAAAAAGTAATAAGTGTATAGGACAAATTAAAATAATGTATTCAGTAAAGTAACAAGTATTTAGGACAGATCAAAGTAACAAGTGTGTGGGGAACATATTGAAACAAACTACTGTTTGTTTGTTTGTTTTAGTATCCAGAAGCCATGAGTTGTTAACCCTTAGGCTTGGTATTATGAATATCGCAACATTTCGGCCTTGATTCCATTGTAATTGCCGCAAATCTGGGAGAAATGTGGCTTTTCTGCCTACCCCCCGGAGTGAACCTGGACCACAAGGAGTTCATCACCCGGTCACCGCGTAATCTGGTTTAGCCAACTACGCTAGAGAGCAGGGCAAAACAAACTACTAAGTACTGTTAACTAACACCTATTTAGGACAGATAAAAAGTACCAAGTGTGTGGGACATACTGAAACAAAGTATACATTACTGTAAAGTAACAACTATTTGGGACAGATAAACAGTAACAAGTGTGTGGGGAACATATTGAAACAAAGTATACAGTACTGTAAAGTAACAAATATATGGGACAAAGAAAAAGTGACAGGTGTGTGATTCATCTTGAAATAAAATCTTGAGCATTGTAAAGTACCAACTATCTGGGGCAGAGAAAAAAGTAATAGGTGTATTGGATATACTGAAACAGAGTATGAACACTATGAAATAACTATCTAAGATACAGACAAAGTAATAGTTATGCGGAACATCTTGAAACAAAGTACTGAGCACTATAAAATAACTATTTGGGATGCAGAAAAAGTAGCAGATGTGTGGTGGGTATAATAAAGCACAGAAAATAGTATTGTAAAATAGCAATTATATTGGACAGCACTAAAGTAATAGATGAATGTGACATTATGATTCTAAGTACAGAATATTTTAAAGCTCAACTATAAAGACATAGATTTTTTTTTAAGTATCCAGAAACCATGAGTTGTTAACTCTTTGGCTCTGTACTATGGATATCGCAACCCTTCGGCTTTGATTCTATGATAGGTACCGCAAATCTGGGAGAAATGTGGCTTGTCTTCCTACCCCCGGGCGTGAACCCGGACCACAAGGAGTTCGTCACCCGGTCACCGCGAAGTCAGGTTTAACCAACTACATTAGCGAGCCGGGCTTAAAGATAGAGATAAAGCATTCAAACAAAAATCAATGTGAATCGAAGCAACAGTTGCCTGCAAGATAAAGAATTCAGAACTGAGTCATGCAGAGGTGTAGTTAAAAAAAACAAATCACAAGAACAGGATATAAAACAAGGAAACACATTGTAAAGAATGGAATGATTTAACTGAGTTCTGCAATTTATGTCTGACATGCAATAACAACAAGTAAGGCGCTTTTACTTCAAGCAACAGCTGTTCAAACAATGAAGCAATAAATGGAGATAACAGATGTCAAAGCACTATCATCATGCTATCTGTCACCAGGGTTTTTTTTTGTTTCAGTAAATGAAAGGGGGGGGGGGAACGGGGGCAGGGACTGCAGTAGAGCTAACGACAAGAAGTGTTAAATATAACATAAAACGTGACTAGAAAGCTCAATGGAGGGAACGGAAAATACACAACCAAACGTTTTGACCAAAGTCTTTATCAACAGAGAACTAAGTACAGCACAAACTGTGACTGGAAAACTCAACTGACAGGACAACCAAGCTTATAAAAGCCAAGGTCAACAACAAACCAATAAGTACACAAATCATGGGGGTGGGGGGGGGGGGGGGTATGAATATGAAGGGCATATATTAAGGCATTAAATAAAACATGACATAAGTAAGATGGGTATGAAAAAAAGAGGGGGGGGGGGGGATGTGAAATGTTAAATAAATAAACACATTAATATAATTAAATAAACTGTGTTAAATTCTGATCCCTCCAAGACTGAGAATGCCAAAACTATAAATGAAATTATTTTCTAAGCAGCAGCAACTGATTTGATCACTGCAGCAAGATTTATTAGCAGTAACTGTGATATCACTTTTGCCTTGGTGGTCAGAACTTTTGAAAAGGAGGCAGACAGGTTTAAAAGCCTTCAGGAAGCAGGGCGAAAAGGTTTGGGCCACAGACAGACATATTTTACATCTTGACTGTGAGCACTTGGACATCTCAGAAAATTACTTGGTATCTCTTTCCGACTGGGTCAAGAACAGGACACTGTCAAGTTCTAATTAATATAAGCTGTAAACTACAACCAAAATATGCAGTGAGCATGGCAAATGCCACTCTATCTTCATGTTTCAATGAAGGCTATAATCCTAAATGCACCTCCTAGCGGTGGAGGATGAAAATGCACCTCGGTGTGGCTAGCACAGATGCTGGGACAGAGTATCTGCCGGAATAAGCAGACACCTCTGCGGTGCTATCTGTTGTAAACAATAGTATCACAGAGCTGGATACTTATTTACCCTGTATTATGTGCTGAACTCACTTTGCTATTCAAATGCACCAGAGGTCAGAGGGCATGATCACCTATGCCAGTCATCAAGGCGCTAGATCAGCGGTTCTCAACTTGTGGGTCACGACCCTTCTGGGGGTTAAACGACCGTTTCCCAGGGGTCACCTAAGACTATCAGAAAACATATATTCACTGAAGTTATAAAGTAGCAATAAAAATTATTTTATGGTTGGGGTCACCACAACATGAGGAACTGTATTAAAGGGTTGTGGCATTAGGAATGTTGAGAACCACTGAGCTAGATGATGATGATGACAGAGACGAGTGTAAAAGGTCGACACTACTTGAAGCTGCGAGACA